CTCTCAGGATTTTCATTGAAAAGTTTTGGAAAAAATCACTATGCAGTGAACAAAATGTTTTCTTTCTGAGAGTTTTAAAGATGTCTTTAAAAGTATTTTAAAAGATTATCATTTTGAATTTAGAAAACAAATATTTTTCCTTGAGGCCAATTCCACTTCTATTCAAGGCATATTTAGCTGAAAAAAAAAAAAAAACCTTCACTGATTAAAGCTGAATGTCTTCATCAACTTGTCCAACATAGACAAGAAGTTCAAGCAAAAAGAGAAAAGTCGGATCTCAACATCGCCAAGATCACATAAATTTCAGGAAGCAGAAAATCTCTCTCCCAAGCCTGCCTGCCCAAGCCTAAGGCAGTTGTCCTGCAGATCTTTTTCCATCAACTTCTTTAAAATATGAGAATTCTAATTAAAAAAAAAAAAAAAAAAAGTTTGGTTCCTGCACAATCCTGGGCAAATTATTTAAGCTAACATTTAGAAAATGCTTAATTTTCCACTGTAATTTCTTGTTTCCTTCAGTTTCCAGTCTATACTATGAAAGAAATAGCATGATACTGCTCCTGAAGCAGTAACTTTAAATACAGAAAAGGGTGAGTGGCCTTCGGACATAATGTTAATAAATCCCTGTAATTACTGGTGAGAGACAGAATCTTGTAGGTTTTAACCTTTTAAACAATTTTTAAAAATATCAGAAAGAGTCAATTTTGGAATATATCCTCAGGGCAAGACTGACCCCACTGCGTTGCTTCCTGGAGCGACTGCCTCATTATGGAGCTCCTGGGAATGCAGAGATAATTTTGCTTTTGCATCATCTTGGGCTATGGCATGTATTTGAAAGAAGCTGAAATGCCTGAGCTACCCCTTCATGTATTTGCACATGATTAATGAGTAGCCAAAGAGCCTGAGGGTTTGTAATGAAGCCTTTTTAATAGGGAAATGTACTGTGGACAAATCCATATTTTGTCACAATCAATCTCCCATCAAAGCTGCAATTTACCTTTTCACAACTAAATGCAAGAGCACCCAGACTATCCCATGGTTAGCCAGCTTAACCCATGCTCCTCTCAGCATGAGTCATTCATTTCTATGGCACCTTTTGTCACTAACTGTGACTATTATTCATATTTAATGATGTTCAATTATATAGACAGGTCACCAACCCTAAGACTACAGTGGACTACTACTACTCACACAGGTCCCCATTCACAGTACATAGCATGTATTTAGTATAAGCGTTGACAAGTCTGACTAGAACCCTTACATGCATTATTTGAGGACAAAACACCTTCACCATGGGAATTCACTTATCCTTCAACATATGTGGAACAACAAAGTAGAAGTATCTAGAGTCTGTGCTTAAGAGCACAGAGAGACTCTGTGATCTAGCTTAACCTATCAATAAGCAATTGTAACCAGTTCTGGCAAATCTGTGAGCTGACTGGGTATCTGAGATCCCACTTAAAGAAAAACTCTTGGTCATTTGCTTTAAACATTCAGTTTTTCTTTCAGTAGTGTCAACAGCTGAAAGTCTCGGGTCCATTCAACACGATACTTAACCAACCTATCCTCCGATGCCAGGACTGTAAAGTAAAATCTAAAAAAAGTAACCTTTTAGTCTGCTACAAATACCTACAACAATGCTTTCTTTTAGTGCTATCCTCAAGGACTGCATTGAGACCCATAATATATTTCACCTGAGTCCTTATACAGCAAATGGATAATGTATTTCATTCGGTTTCATTACATGCTGGGCTCAAACCAGTATCTAGGGATGAAAGACAGCAAATTTCTCCCACTTGTAATACTTTTAATTTCATCCTGTAATACTTACATTGCTTTACAGAGCAATGCAAGTGTCATGGTGCAATAAAATTATATTTTTAATAATTAGAATTTCACCTACTCAAAATGCTTTCAGGAAAGCCTTTCAAAGTTGCAGCCCAAGGGTTGAAAAGTCATGAGCTTAAAAAAAAAAAAAAAAGACTTCTGATGAGTTCTACAGTTGTGTTAATTGATGACTAAGACATCATTCTGTTTTTAATTAGGAATTAACAGTCACTGCTTTCAAAGGCTGGGGCTCCCCGCTTCTTCCAGAGTCTGGTGTGTTTGTCTTTCTCTGAGGAAAGATGGCCAAGGGAAAAGGAAAAGGTCCTAAAGGAAAAAAAATCACCTTGAAAACTGCAAAAAATTCTATCAGGATCTCTTTTGATGGAGGCCGTCGTCTTGACTTAAGTAAGATGGGTATCACTACCTTTCCCAAATGCATTCTAAAACTGGCTGATGTGGATGAGCTTGATTTGAGTAGAAACATGCTCAAAAAGATCCCAAACAGCATTGAGAAGTTCCAGAAACTGCGCTGGCTGGACCTGCACAGCAATCAGCTAGAAGAGTTGCCCAAGACAGTAGGTACGCTTCAGAATCTTTTCTACCTGAATATATGTAACAACAAGCTGACCAGCAAAACCTTGCCAGAAGAGTTGAACCTTCTAAAAAACCTGCGTATTCTCAATCTTGGCTTGAACTGTCTTGACAGCATCCCCTCCACACTTGGAGCCCTGAAGGAACTTAAGGAGTTAGGTCTCTTTGACAACTTCTTGACCACTATCCCAAACAGTGTGAAAACGCTTCCCAGGCTCCAGAAACTGAATGCAGAAAGAAACCCTTTCCCTGAGTCAAAAAAAGAAGAGTACATTGACCCCATCAAGCGTGTAGAATCGCTTTACTTAGTACAAGAGAAAGACCTATGCTGTTCCTGCCTGAAGACCTGTCAGGAAGAAAGGGACAAACTAAACAAGTTTAAGAACACAATATCCTGCCCCTCCAAGAAGCTCAGTTTCCCTTTACTCCTTACACCCAACTCCACTGCAATGGATAACCAAGAACAATGGAGAGTAAAAGATGAACATCTCTGAACTCTACAGTCGTGCTCCATGGGCCATGTCCTATGAAATCCAGCTCAAGCTAATTAAAAAGCTATCCACCTGCCTTTTTCTGCAGTTCTCTTCATTTAAGGACATCCAGTTTTAGAAGCAGATCTGAGGTGGTATCTAAAACCAAATCCCAAACAAGTAAAACAAATGTGCATTTTAAAAAGGACACATTGGAAAGACTACTTTCTAGCACCTGGGCCTGTTCCTACAACATGTTCTTCTGGTTCTTTGTGGGGCTTTTTTTTGTTTGTTATGAACTTTATGTCCTTGTCATATGTCCACTGAAGGGAATCTTCACAAAAATAGTTATTTCTAGTAATTATCTCGCACCATTTAGCCCCCCAAACGTTACTTTTGTTAATTTTCATCTGGTGAGGCGTAGTCATCCACAGTCTCAGTGAATACAATATACAAGTGCAAGCAATGAGCAGATTATAAAAGTAGTTGAGCATGGCACATGAAGAGCTGCTGGCTGCAGCCTCAGTAACATGTTGACAGCACAGATTTAACTGTATTTAAATGAAGAATGAAGTGCCATGGGTGAAGCATTCAGTGGTCCAGAAACGTCAAAAATGATTATCAATTTTAAATGTCACAGAACACTACCATCTCTATAGAGTTAACCATCATTTCTAGCTCAGATTATGCTCTAGCCAGAGCTGTTTCCACACTGCAATGATACTTCTTGCAAGCAGATGGCTAGTACTCAAGGTGAAAGCATTCACTTCAAAGATAAGTAATGACCTGCAACAGGTGGAATGAAAACAAACAAAAAAAGGGAAGCAGAGGTCACACAAACAAGATACTACAACTCCACAGATCTCAACAATATTCTGCCTCCAAGTGATCATTCCAGAGTACACTAGTCAGGCCCTCAGGGGTGTATTCCTCACACACCCAATTTGAGAAGATCTGCAGCTATACAAATAACTCAGTGTCTGCACTGAACATGGTTTCATTCAACTGACACTGGAAGGGAAAGCTTTCTTTTCCTGCAGCAGTAAATCTGATGAACCACAAATTGGAATCTCCAATGCGCTGTTACTGTAGCATGCCAAAACTTCCACGCACACATCTGTCACTGTCTACTCTAAACACACAATAAACAGCCCATTATGTAGAAACATTATGGATTAGCTTTGTAGCCTCACCTCACTGACTGTCTCTATCCCACAGTAACCATCTGTATAGAGTTTACCATAAAATCATATTAAGGAGTTAATAATTATTAATCAACTAAGCACTGTCAGCTACTTAACACATTCCTCATACCTTCACATCATGGATGCTGTACACTAGAACACCTTAGAGTTCTGGAGACACAACTGAATCTTTAAAATAGAGAGCACAAACAGCTAAGTTTCCAATTTCCATTTTTTTGTTTGTTTGTTTTTAAGGTACAATTTAATAATGTGTTTGCTCTTATTTTCTACTGTTATCCAATGTTCATGTTTTTACCTTACATTCAGGGACTCCTCTGTTACCCCCTTTGACTTCAAAGCAGGTTGGAAAAAGCAAAATCTACAGATAAAAAAATAACAAAACAATCTTTTAAACAGTTATTTGTACAGAGGATGTATGTGTATCATCTCATATCCGTATATAATCTATTAAACACCATCATACCTTAACTGCAACTTTTCTTATGAAGGACCACGGAATCATAGAATGATTTGGGTTGGAAGGGACCTTTAAGATCATTTTGTTCCAGCCCCCCTGCTACAGGCAGGGACATCTCCCACTAAACCAACTTGGAGGTGTCCCTGCCTATAGCAAGGGAATGTCCCAGCCTTTCACCAACCCAGAATAAAGTCGCAAGACAACACAGCAAAAACATGTTTGATGTTAAAGAATTGTCTGTGGGCTGGATAAAAACAGTTGCTTTCCTAAATAAGGCTTTGAATTGACCAGTAATAACTTATGATCAGGTGGCTTAGGATGGTACTAATTAAACCCAGAGGAAAAGAATCCTCTCTGACATTTACCAGCCTGCTGGCAAAAGTGGCAGAAAGGTACACCAACTCACATATCAGCCTCCTCTCTCTTTACCTCCAGTAGGTTTTGGGGATTTTTTTTTTTTTTTTCTTTTTTTTTTTTAATGTCAGACATTAAACCCATAGATTTGGTAACCTGCAGCTGAATGGCAAGACGGGCAGTTGAAGACTAATGCACTGTCTTGAACTGCCCTCAGCAAGATCACTCCAACACATGCATTTCAGAGCTAAGAGACAGCTAAAATAAGGACTAAAAGCAGCCATCTCTGGGGCAGAATCTGGTAATTTTAAGAAGTCCAGTTTAGAAAGGAGAAGTGGATAAATTCACATTGGCCTTTTAAGGAATGCTCCCCATTAGAGTGCTCAGAGATTTCAGGAGCAGAAGGATCTTTAGGGAAAGGAAGCAGCACAGCTACAATTGCATTTCTCTGGGATGCAAGGATATATAACAACACGTCATCAGGTGCTAGAAGAGTATTACAGATGCATTAGCTCCCTTGATAAATCAATGACTATGTAATGTTCCAAGGAATTCATAAGTCAGCAAATGAAGTTTCATAGCTTTGTTTATATGCAAGTCATTAAAGACCAAAAAGTTGTAATCAAAGAAAGAGACAGCACAAAGACAGAAATTTGAAGCCAAGATAAACACAGACCATTCACATGGTATTATGAAGTTATTACCTCTTAAATATCTTTTTTCGGTCACAGTCATGGAAGACAAGAAATCTGGAGTAACCATTTTTGAAGAATATTTCTAAGGCGATCTCCTAGAAAGGTAAATCATTTGCAGGTTGAAGCAGTGAAGAGCTAACATGAGCGCTGTGAAGAGCCCACTATTGGCTCTCAAGTTCTTCAAGGCTTTAAAAACAAAGGCTATGACTTTGTAGCAAGTGTGAAAAAGCATAGCAAAATAGACCTAATGTTCCCAATTTCTCCATCTATAGAAGTGGTTGTACTGGGTTGACTAGGATTATGAATGCTTCTGTGAAGCAAAATCAAAGCCCAGATACTGATCCCATCACCCAACATCTGCTACTTCTGTTTTTGTCTTGAAATCTTGGTGCGAATAGCATAACACAAGTAGTATTAACTTCTAAATAGGTATATGAAGGGGGGATCCTAAGTAAAAGTTTCTCCCAAACAGAAACCCTGCAACTTTCAAAATTGTTGGTTACTACTCATTTAAGATTGGAAGTGGAAGAGGAAGGGGAGTTTATGATGTTTCTCACTGAAGCTTTAAAAAAGAAAAGTTACACCTTCAGCCTTTTTCCACAATATCCTCACACAGGTTAAGTTGGTCATTTGCATACACTCCTGTAATTTACCCAGCGATCAGTCCCTTCTCCACCCTCCCCAAAGTCAGCCAGGTAAAATTACAAATGATGCATCGTATCTGGGAAGCTAGACATGAGTTTCAATCCAAAGACAGCAGGTGTAATACAAATCTAAGAAAACAAGAGAATGACAACAGCCCATACATGATTCACAAATAAAATATGAAGAAGAAAGGGTATATAAAAGCAGCTACGACAATAAACAGCTTTATCTGAAGCACAGCTTCACACTTTCACCCAAGGTCCAATCAATGACTACTTTCACTGGTCTCTATTTTTCAGTTTGTGTAACACAAAACACTTCCGTTTCTCTTGTTCAAAACAAATCCACATATAGATACAAACACATGTGAAGAAAGTAAGATTCTACTTAGGAGGAGAAATGGAGGAAGAGGTGACCATTCTGTTGCTCTGATTGCTCATCAGGTGATGTAAGAAAATGTGCTTCATACAGTTACTCATAACAAGACTTAACATTTCCGTACATGTTTGGATAGCGACCTAACCACTTAAGTACCCCATATCCTATATGCTGAAGTAGGCCTCTGCTGAAACTGTCCAACTCACATACATCATGAACTATGTACTGAATATCACTGAAAAACTAGACGCTTACTGGAAACTTTAGTCAAAACAAAAATGATTTCAAAGCTTGTTTTCAAAAACACTGAGTTGGACTGTAAAGAATACTGTCAGCCTAACAGCTAACGAGCCAATCAGTCCATTGAGGGGTGGTTTTTGCTCAGAAAAACCTCAACAGTCTTAGTGAAAATTATACAAGTAGTTTTCAGTCACATAATTTTACTGCTGCAGCAGCTTTCACTCAAATGACCAAGCATGTTAGTTCCTACCTGCAGGAGAAAGCGCATTAGACGGATCTCTTTTATATCATGATATGAGTAACGGAAACATCTCTGATCTCCCACAACATGCTCTTTATGACACAAGTTGAAAATGAATGGATCACTGATGCTGGAAAAGGAAAAACAAAAGAAAAAGAAATCAATTTTAAACAAAAGAGACCTGGAAAGCCTTCATGAACATGTTAAGTTTTGTTTATAAGACAACTGGAATACAGAGGAATTGAAAACAAGGCTGAACTACAAAGGCAGATATATATATATATATTTAACTAGCTCTCAAAATAATAATAAAAATAATACAAAATTTGAAAAAGTTGAGATCTTTTTTGTTCTTTTTTGTTTTTTTAAATGCCTGTGGAGGCTGAAGGTAGATTTGAAGTGATGATTTTAGGGTATGCAAGTACATAGAGAGCAGTGTTTTGCATGTGTTGAAGTCTAAGCAGCAGCAGCAAGGGAAGGAATACAGTGGGGGAACCTGAAAGCCAGGGTCAAAGGCAAACATCATACGGACATGCTGCTTTCATTAACCGCTATTAACTGGAACTAATAATTAAACTATCACTTCATTATTACTAGAGGTGTGTACATGTACTTCAATTGATACCCACAATTTAACCTACAAACCCCTTAGAAAAGCAACTCAAATTATTTAATCAGACTCTGTCCAATCGATCTGTAAGTCATTTGATCGGATTGACTGGTATCAGATTTAGTAAGAATCGGATGCACAGCAGACAGTCTTTCAGTGAGTAAAAACACTGAGTTGCTCACTGTCCCACTGGGCCTTG